AAATTAGAGTTTTAAATTGAATCAAATATAATATATTGTTTATTAAATAATTTAAATAATTTGATCAAATTAGATTAAATTAGGTTAGGTCAGTCAGATCAAATGAAAATTTAAATCAAGTCAGATTTTTATTTGATTTGACCTGAACCGACCTGTTTGGAGCTCTAGTGAAATCATTTCTTGCCTAGCAGGTGAAATATAAGCTGACTCGAAATTTGGAACACTTGGCATAGTATTTTTTGCTATAGTTGTTTTGGCTGAAAGGTAAGCTTCATAGCTGATTGAATGAGTATTATAATTATATGATACTGATGCCAACTTATCCTTTTCTGAATGTGGAGTAGATTAGGATGAAAACTCTAGCTGAAGACGCTTCATTTCAGCCTCTTCTTGTAATATATACTGTTTATACTGCCAGATTTGAAATTTCCTCCTATCAATAGCTTAGAGAATTTTTTTTCTTTTTATATATTCAATTGGGTTAGCTTTACTAACAATACATCTCTTCAAGTGGCCATCTCGATAGAGAAATTCGCCTATAAGCTTTTCAGGAATGAATACTAGGAAGTCATACTACAATATATATAATTTGTTAGATTTCTGCTAGGATGGAACCCTTTACCATCTTCATAAAACTTTACATACATGCGAATATATCCATTCTTAGAAAATATTTCTGGGTTTTCTTCAAGTATTTTTCTAAATGGATCACAGATACGAGAGCATCACATTTCTGGTATTTCATTATTGTATTTATGTTGTAAAAGATGTATTACTTTTATTATCTCATTATATTTATCATCACGATCAGGCGAACAAAGCTTATAGTAGGCATTACTATCTAAATCCATCTTTATAAATGTTTAAGCGATAAAATAGTGTTTTTAGTGATTTATATCGTTTTTAATGATTTATAGTGATTTATAACAAGTATACTATAATAAATATCAGATTCATTTTATTTGATTACGAGTATATTAGGAATTTATACTAATTTTATATTTACACAGCACCTTCGGCTAAATTGATTTATGACATGATGTACTGTATATTATATCACATGAGATCTTCAACCAGTTCTATAATCATGAGATGGTCAGCCAATCAGAAAAAATGTCTAAATCACCACTCTGAAAATTTTACTTATTAGCCAAAAAATGCTTTTCTAAACGATCTCTACAGGCTTCTTTTATACTATTATTCATTATATCAAAAAACATTACTTCAAAATTATTTCCTTTTTTCTCTGCACAATGACGTAGAATTTTGTTACAGGCTTTAAATGCATCTATAGCTTGATCAGGAATGTATGAACAGCAATGATTATCATCAGTTTTTTTAAATATAATATTTTTTGATCTATAATATGCATTGCTTTGTTCATTAATCCGCTGAGTACACAAATCAGAGCATGCATATACTAGATAGCATCTATCATTAGTAGGTAATAAACGAAACATGGGATATGTATTGGAATAAGAGGCTAAGGCACATGTGCGTTCTTTTAATTTAGTACACCCCTCTCTCTCACACAAGCAAATAAAACGTTTGTCACAAATATAACAGATAGTATTACCCTTCTCACTTTCTGAAATAGTTGATGCCGGTTCACTTTGTGAATGAAGTGGTTGTGCGCAATTTTTGTTTTTATTCCTTTTACGGCCTATTAGTTATTTTAATGTGCAGGAAATTCAAATCTTATTATTGTGGTGGGTTTAGCTTATTTTTCGAACTATAGGATTAGTTTGCGGATCTCTCATGATTTTATTTATTCGATAAGTGCATTTACAGATATACAGCTGATACACATGAATTAAGAAGGAGAAAGGTCTGATATGGGCAAACTTTATTAGTCAATTTATGATAATCATGCTTTACAATATGCAAACTACATTCAAAAGTCAAAATACGTGTTAAGGGTATTCTGACGTCAGAACAGTATCACATGACTATGACGCAATAATTTTGCCTAATTTTCAAAATTTTTTATAATGTATGTGACCTCACTTCTCATTAGATCTGAAAAACTAGATGCAGTAAAAGACTTGATACGAAGAATCTTGTCCTTCTCTATCGCCTTAAAGATATCATAAATTTTCTAGCTGTATCTATTCTCTTGCGTACCATACCATTATTCATATTTTCCAGAAGTTTTCCTTAACTTCTTTGTTCAGCTTCGTATGTGCCGTTTGCGAAGGATTGCTTTGTAAAAGTATAGCTAGTCGCTCTGATAAGGCTTTTTTAAACTGAGAATAGAAATGAACTAAATCTCTATTAGCTCGATCCTCATTTTTTTCCGCATCATCAATCTCATAATATAATTTATGGAATTGATTCGAAACTTCTCTCATGTCAGAATCTTCAGGAGGGGCACCAATTGATATTTCACTAGCTTGGCAGATAGACAGCTCACGAATTATAGTTTGTGCTTTTATATCCTAGTAGCTTTACGTGAATCATCTTTCCTCTTCCTTTTCTTGGATGCTTTATCGAAAGTAAGTGAAATATAATATCCTTCTTTTTCAAGATCATCAATTGACAGACATTTGGGTACAGCTTACTCTTATTACTAATGCATTCAAAATGAGCCTTATGTCTGCATGGTAGTAGTACAAGTAGTTTAGAAACAGAAGCATTAAGCCTTAATAGAGGCACTATAGAGATTACTTTAGAACACTTATCACAAGCTTCCTCAAACAGATCATCATCAAATTCAAAATCCTCTGAAGGTAATAATGGATCGCTATCATCATCCTTGCCACATGAGCAATATAACGTTCCTCTCTTATTAGTTCCTCTTGCACAAGTCCGGTGGATTAAACATTTAAAATGAGAGATCTAGGCGGATCTTCTGTTAAAATAGGCTTATCACATTCTTAACATGTTCCATAATCTGGGATAGCTTCATTAGATTTAATCGATGAAAAGTCTGGCTCTTCACGAAGAATTTTCTCTAGGAGGTGTTTCAATATATGTAATGCAAGTAATTTTAGAGCTCTATTGCATCCTGGTTGTACTTCATAAATATCTCTGCTTTGGGTAGAGGTGTTTATGATGCCCTCCATATTGTCAGATAAATTGCTTTCTTGACTTGTCACCTTCAGGACCCTTTCCGTACTTTTTTCTCTGCCACCATCATCATCATCATAATAAACTAGGTTACCCAGGTCATCGTAATCTGTAGTAGAAGTCAGGTTTCCGCTCTCTTGATTTTCCATGGTAAAGTTTTCTGAAAAAAGACCGGAGGTCAGGTCATTTAACTCGCTTTTATAGCTTGCAGGAGAAAATATTCTCCGGATTTTCATCAGCAATAAGGCACAGCATTTCGTCATTCGCTAATCCCTTGCAAATCAATAAAAATAACGAAAGATTAGCATATGCATCCTAAACCTCATATGCGAAATAATGATTGCTTGAAGAAATGTCTATATCTGAATATTGTTTTATTGACATGATAATAGTGTGGCCGGAGACATGACATGCAAATCGAGTTAGAGAAAAAAAAATAATGCTAATATATATGCCAATCTTACGTCACACAGCCCCTATTCTTCGGCAAGAATTTTCTGCACATTTTCAGGTGATCGATCTTACATGACATGCTATTATGACTTTCTTGTCGTTATATGCCAATCTCGCATCGTCTCGAACCCAAATAGAATAGTATAATTTTTTTGATATATTATTTAGGATTAAAATTGGGTTAGAAAGGCTATAAGAGAGATTTATTCTTGGTATCCTGCTGGGTAATTTAATATCAAATTTGGTAAGTATCCCAAGATTAATAAAAAATCTCGTGTCCATTCCAATTTAGAACGTAGATCACTTCTATTACATATACGAAACCAGCATATACAGTAACATTTTTATTAGTCCGATAGACCCAAGGTCACAACGTAAAGTGAACGGCACAGTAAATATCTTTATTATAGACTTAATTATATTATACATAAAATACACTGGTGTAACTTAATTCTAAAACTAAGTACGCAAAGCTATTTACTTTTTCTTCTTTTTCTTTCATTAATTACAACTTTAGTACGTACTGTATTAGGAGTCTTGAAAGTCGAAGGTAGAGTCATAGGTGGAGGAGTTGTACATCGGTTTGATCTTTCAATTTTGTTATCATCGTCAGAGTCATCAAGGCTATTAAGATTAAGTGTCTTTCCTTGTTGCATCAATTTTAATGTTCGCACAATAATTGCCTTTGCCTTTAATTAAAGATGGTGCCTCAATTAATTGCAACAGGTGACAAATAAGCATCACAATGTTGCAACGAATTGCAACATTATTAAAATTTAAGTTGCAACAGGTGACAAATAAGTGTCACAATGTTGCAACGCCATCTTTACCCTTAATACATCCTTTATCATAAATGCTAATGGTGGATCATTTATACGACCAGCTACTTCGTAAAAGTCAAGGCGTTGAGCCCAACAGATATATCCTATTGGAACGTCCATAGTTAGGAGTTGAAATCGATTGCCACTATGTAACATTCTAACGGTCTGTAATTGTTTAGCAATTTGTTTATTACCTTTACATTTCGCTATAAGCACTACTAGCATATCTCTTAACATTTTGCTTAGTTTTAGAATGTCAGTAATATATTTTCTCCTATTTCTATCTTTCCACTTTCTTCCCACTTCAATGGCTCCAAATTCCAACCTATCACCTTTCAACCTAAAAATTCCATCCCTTTTCCTACCGATCTTTTTTCGATCCACATCACAACTATCACTAGATGAAGTCTCATGATCTGCATCATAACTTGTATCATTCTTTCTATCGCTAGATGCTAGGCTCATACCTTCTCCACGTATCAAATTAATCCTTGAATTAATATAGAATGCAGGATCAATAATAGAACTCCATATGTTGTGTTGAAACCATCCTTCCAATTTTGATGAATCTAGAGTGAAATCATCATCATCTTTTCAGAGTGTATGTATGGCACGATATACAAGGTTCACATAATTTAAGTCAAAATGTTTTCTGTTGAAGTATAAAGCATCGGTAGGTAAAAAAGACTCAAAAATGATTTTTCGAAATGAAGGTAGATCAGTTACTGAATATTTTTTCAGAAGCTCAATAACTGATTTGTCGATTTTTGTCATTTTTTTGCAGTTTGAGGAAAATATCTCTTTCCACTCTTTATTTTGAAATAATGACTTTACTTTTTCGTCAATATTGCTGATTATGAAGGAGTGTAAATAGGACTCGTATTTCAAAGTTTTTGCGTATTCGTAAATTATTTTCTTAACAATACGACCAGATTTAAGGGTCCACATCTTTTCTGGGTTTAGGTCACAGAAAATGCGATCGAAATGGGCCATTTGTTCATCTAAAATCCTGTCATCGTCAATATCGGTGGATTTCCTTTTAGGCTGAATCAGAAAAGGTCAATCATTAAGTATCAAAGTAACATAATATGCATAGTATTGCTCATCCTTTTTGACTTTTCTTGATATTCTGAACCAGAAGAATCTATTTCAATCTGACTTTCATAATAATTCACCGGTTTTCTTTCTCGAACTTTTTTAGTTGAAGATTCTTCTTCCTAAAGGATAAAAAAAACATTGTGTAAAAGCACACACAGAATGTATGTAGTAAGTTGTACTTCTAGTGATCTCACCTTCTCTTCATTAAACCCTTGAGAGCGTAATTTCTGAATATTATGCTTCCCAGCATCATCTAGCAGATCAAGACTACCAGAGAGGTGTGTACGTTTTACTGACCACTGTTTAGCATAATTATTATAACATTATTATAAAACAAATAAAGTAAAGGAAAATCAGCGTAACTAACCTCCTTTCGTTCAAGGATAATTTTTTCCCAATAGTCCTTCATTTTTTCGGACACCGGCTGTTAATATAATTGTATAGTTAACAAAAAAAGCTTAGCAATAACAAGCAAAACATTGGCGGGTCGCGAATGGTGGAAAACAGGAAGAGTCCTAATGCTTTAAATATATGTAAAGACTTGCCAGGAGTTTCCCCACTATTACTTGGGACATGTAGAGACTTGACACAGTAATTTCCTAGATAGGAGAAGCACTGAGCCTCCAGAACATGTAGAGACTTATCAGGTGATCCCTTCCGCCTATACTGGAAACAAAATTACTTCACCTTCACAGTATCCTCTGAAAGTTCCTTCACTTCCTGCATAAATCGTCTAGTCCATGTGCTATTGAGGGTATTCCATTTACTATTATATGGTGGTAAATCGATAAGAAAAGCATGGTTTAGGGTCAGAAAATCGGCATATGACCAACTTTTGGAGTTACGCTTTTTCAAATATGTTACTAGGACTATTGAAAGCAAATATGATTAGTACTTTAAAGGCAAAGGAACAATCAGTGTGCTTACCTGTGCGACCGTGATACATTGTTGGAACTTCAGACATCTTGTATTTCCTGTAAGGTAAAAAAAATTAGGTACCGTAAAAGAGAAAACTAAATACTTTTTTATTAGTCTGGACACGCGTGTTCACTTGGCGCAGTAATGTGTGGTGCAATAAATGATCTATCTGTCTCACATGACTGGCCTATGCAAACTTAAATTTATTGATTGAAATGAAGCAAGTAAGACAATATTCTGTTCCATTTCTATACCATTCACCATGTAATCCATAATTCCCATGTTTTTCATCACAAATAGGACATGGTGAGCTCCACGGCTGAAGTGATGCAAAATCATAATTATTAATCCCTCTGAAACTATTTCTAAATTTCAAGGAAGGATTGGCGATCCTGGCTTAATCTGTAAGGTGCGAGTCCCTATTGTAGGTTACACTGCGATAGTCACAGGTTCA